TAAAAGAAAGGAAGAAGAAAGAAAGAGGAAGGAAGGGAGGGAGGGAGGGAGGGAGGAAGGAGAGAAAGAAGGAGAGAAAGAAAAAAAGGAAGGAAGGAAGGAAGGAAGGAAGGAAGGAAGGAAGGAAGGAAGGAAGGAAGGAGAGAAAGAAGGAGAGGAAGGAAGGAAGGAAGGAAGGAAGGAAGGAAGGAAGGAAGGAAGGAAGGAAGGAAGGAAGGAAGGAAGGAAGGAAGGAAGGAAGGAAGGTGGCAGGGAACACTGTGGGCAGGTCACCCACGGGCCCTGGGACTCTGGCCCCCTGAGGCCTCCGGGAGGCCGTCGGGAGCTCTCCTCGGACTGTGCTCCCCCAGGGGCGAGGAAAGCGGGGTGCTCACCCTCAGACTCCCCTGCGCTGTTGAGGGCCCTCCTGGCGCTAGTTCTCCGGAACCTTCGGGCTGCTCCTCCCCAGAGGGCCCCCGGTGCGAGCAGCAAGCGCTGGGGGCACGCCCGGTGCCCACGAGTCCTGGGCAGCGCCCCGCAGCCTGGACCACAGCCCTCATGGCTCTTGGAAACATTTCAGCAGGAGGGGGCGGGGACCCCCCCTCCCTCCTTCCCCCCTCCCCAAAGCAGCCTCCGTCCCCGAGGCCTGGCAGCCGATGGGCACTGGGCCTCCTCTGAGAGGGAGGCCGCTGCAGGGATCTGCCTGCCTTGGGGCCGCACAGACGAGGGGCTGTGAGACGAAGGTTCCGGAGCGGGAGCAGCCGGGAGGGCGGGCATTAGAGGCCGACATACATGACCGCCGGGCGGGTTCTGGTGAGGGCCAGCCTGGCACGGGAGCCGAAGGCTGATTCCGCAGGGACTGGCCGGGGAGAAGCGCCAGTGGCAGGGCTTGGACAGATCTGGACTCCAGCCTTATGAAGCCACGCGCCCGCCCTTTTAGATACGACAAGAACTGGGAAAAGGGTGTTTGGGAAGCTGACTCTGGAGGAGGTCAGAGGTGGAGTTAGGGCCAGAGCCTGGTGCGGCCGGCGCGGTGGGATGGCGAGAAGGGGTCCCCTGAGAGGGGACGCACGGGTGTTTTAGAAAGCCGCCCACTCCCCACCTTCCCGCAGGGCGAGGGCAGTGTCTTAGCCGCCGTCACAGGCGCCTTAGCAGCTGAGGCAGGAATAGTGCTGATCAGCAGGCGCCGGGCAGGGCTATTTTTAAACCCAGAGGCACCTTCTGCCATCGGTGAGCAAATGGCGGACCTGTGGCCATCACCTTAGAATTTCCTTCCCCTGCCGCCAGCTGGAGGCGAAGACAGCAGGTAAGAAGTAACTGCCAGCCTCCGTTTCTTGTCTCCAGAAACGTTTTTAGAACTTGATACCTGGTCAGACATGCGCTCTCAAGTCAAATGAGGCCCTGGCTGGGGTGGCTCAGTAGATAGGGCATTGGCCTGCAGACGAAGGGTCCCGGGTACGACTCCGGTCAGGGGCACAGGCCCAGGTTGCGATTTGAATCCCCAGTGGGGGGCGTGCAGGGGGCAGCCCATCAATGATTCTCTCTCCTCATGGATGTTTCTATCCCTCTCCCTTCCTCTTTGAAATCACTAAAAATATAGGGGGTTTTTTTGTTTTTTTAATATATTTTTATTGATTTTGTACAGAGAGGAAGGGACAGAGACAGAGAGCTAGAAACATCGATGAGAGAGTGTCATCGATCAGCTGCCTCTTACACATCCCACTGGGGATATGCCCGCAACCAAGGTACATGCCCCTGACCGGAATCGAACCCAGGACCCTCCAGTCCCCAAGCCGACGCTCTATCCATTGAGCCAAACCGGTCCCGGCAGTTTTTTTTTTTTTTAAAGAAAGAAATCAAGAGGACGGAAAGACAAGCGTCTCTCTCAGGGCCTCCCGATGGAGGACACACAGGGACGAAATGAGAAAAGGAAGCAGCGTTTGCAGAGGAGGCAGCAGGCGCCCTGAGCACACGCGGTCCCTGAGCACACGCGGTCGGCATGACCATGGGACACACGTTGGGAGGGGCTGACTGCTCAGGTGCCTGGGATCCCATGATCGCTTCTCACAGGCCTTAGTTCCATCGGATTTCCCCTTCTCCCCAAAGACCACACAGGAACTTCTATTGGGTAACTTCGGACGGTCTGATTCATCTCTGAAGCCAGCTGCTACGTGCTGACACCTGGACCCCTTCTGTGATTTTCACGGACAGTTATTTTTAAAGGGAATTTCACAGGGTGAGATTTGAATGTCTGGAAACTGTATGTAGAAATGACATCTAAGTCAAGTAAGTAAATTACAATATTTATTTATTTATTTGCCAAGCACAAATCATTCTTTGGGGAATGTTTAATAAGAATATCTTGAAATTATTTTTTCAAGTGTGTCTGAACGTCTACTCTATTAAATTTATTATGAAAGTATTTTTTTTTCTTTGAATGATTGTACATCTCTTTTCTTCCTTCTTTTTTCTTTTCACTCTCTCCTTCGCCTGTGCTTTCAGAATAAACTTAATCTTGTGGAGCAGCTGTAAGTGCAGTTACAATTGAGGGCGGCGCAGAGGTTTCCCAGGACCCGCTTATCTCACACGTGCCTGCCTCCCCCGTTATCGCCCCCCTCCCGAGGGAGGGCTCTGCTCTGTGTCACTAAGGGACCTGCACGGCCACGCCGCCCCAGCCCGCACTTCACCGCAGGGCTCCCTCTGGATGGCGCACATTCTCTGGGCCGGACGCTCCCCCAGACCCCCCAGCATTCCGCTCATCCCAGAGGACAGCTTATGCATCTGGTGTTCCTTTCCCCACTCTAAAGATGAGGACACTGCGATGCAGAGGGAGCTGGAGTATCTGCCACGTTTATGTAATGACTGAGGGACGGGGCCCCGTGCAGACCGGCCCCCCTCCAGGACACGCTGACGATGAGGTGGCGGGGAACTGACCCGGTAGCTTTGCCAACACTCGTCTTGGCGCTCACTACCCTTCCCAACACGCTCCCACCGGGCTCGCTTTACCTGGACCCTGTCCACTTCCCAGGGAGCCCCGAATGCATCCTGTTTACCTGGAGAATCCTTCAAGATCAGTTCCAGGATTGTGAACCTCTGAAGGATGTCAACATTGACACGGAGTCCCTTCCCCCCAAAGCCATGGCGGCACTGCGGTTCTGTGGCATTCCCGTAGTTGATAGTCAACCCTAACCGTAACCCTGACCCTAACCCTGACCCTGACTCTAACCCTAACCATGACCCTCTGACCCTAGCCCTGACCCTGACCTAACCCTGACCCTGACCCTAACCCTGACTCTGACCTTAACCCTAACCCTGACCCTGACTCTGACCCTAACCCTGACTCTGACCCTAACCCTGACCCTGACCCTAACCCTAACCTAACCCTGACCCTGACCCTGACCCTAACCCTGATCCTAACCCTGACCCTGACCCTAATTCTGACCCTGACCCTAACCCTAACCTAACCCTAACCCTGATCCTAACCCTGACCCTGACCCTAATTCTGACCCTGACCCTAACCCTAACCTAACCCTGACCCTGACCCTGACCCTGACCCTGACCCTAACTCTGACCCTGACCCTGACCCTAAGCCTGGAGAAGCCGTGAAGCCTTCCACCGCAGGAATCTCCTGAGGAAGAGGCGAAGAGGAAGCAATCCCGGGCGCCCCCACCTGGGAGCTGCTGGCAGCCTCCCAGAACTTCCAAGGGAACCACAGGGAATGCTGCCAGGGATCTCCTGGTGAAGGGTCCTCTGAGAGCTGAGCAGAGCCCAGAAGAGCCGGGCGTAGCCCCAACAAGCCGAGCTAATCGGCGAATCAAGCCTCATGCTCTCACTTCCCGTGGTCTCCCGCTTCTCTCCTCATGCTCGCCACCTCCTAATCCAATCACCCCACCCGATGGCTGGGCGGATCCCTGCCATCCTGTCCGGTGACCTGATCGACCTCATCTGACCCGGTGCTGGCGATGCAGGTGCTTCTCCCAACCAGGCCTGTGATGGGAGCACTCAGGCCCCTGGGAGCAGAGCCTGTCACCGGCCCTGTCCCTCACGGCGAAGGGACGCCGGGGGCCCACCCTCTCTCTAAACGCCCGAGCGAAGCCTCTCCTCCTGCCGAGCGGCTCGGACCACAGCCGTGGGCCTGGGAAGCAGCTGCAGTCCAGGCTCGCCCTGCCCGCCTGTCCGCCCGTCCGTCCGTCAGGCCTGGAGGTGGCACAGGAAGGCGCAGGGGCCCTGCCCCTAGCCCGGCCTGCCCCCCATGGGAAATGCCCCCTCTTCCCGCCCCTCTGTCCTCCCGCCCTCACCCGGAAGCCAAGGAACAAGACACTCGGGACACGGCCAGGCCCCAGCCAGGAGCCTCCTCCGTGGGGAACCGCACCAGCCTGCTCACCGCAGGCGCCCGCCCTCCGGGGAATCAACGAAGTAACGGACCCGAGCACAGGACGTGAAGGCAGCCGGGCCCAGGGTCTGGCTGTGACCTCCGGAGAGGGCACTGCCTCTGGTCCCGGCGGAGGCAAAGGCAGAGAAATGGGCCTCTTTCCCCCACACAGGGGCCGGGCCTCCGCCCAGCGGTGGTAACAGGCCTCCTGCACCCCCTGCCCGGCGCCCCCTGCCTGGTACCCCCACTCCCTGCCTGGCACCCCCTGCCTGGTACCCCCACTCCCTGCCCGGCGCCCCCTGCCTGGTACTCCCTGCCTGGTGCCCCCTGCCCGGTGCCCCATCAGGAAGGAGGACCGAGGCCTCTCCCTCACCGTGTCCCTGCACCAGAGCCCTCCCAGCGGAACACCAATCCTCCTCCCAAACAGCTCCCAGCAGAGGCGGCATTCACTCCAGGATTTAAACTGTCCCTCAGCCACTCCCACAGGCCTCCCCCACGTCTGATTTCCTCCGAGTACTCTGTCACCACTGGAAATTTAAATATTTGGTTATTGATTATTCCATCCCCTCCAACCACACACACACACAGACACACACAGCAAGTGTGAAAGGAACTGTTTCATGTTTTATCAGCCACACTGAGCATGCAATGCTGGTAAATTGTGCTTTAATTCCTGCAGTCAGACACGTGCAGTGAGATACAAGTAAACTTCCATTGTATGTTCAAAAAATAAAACGCACATTTATACAGGTTTAGCCCAACAGCTTATTCCCTTAGAAAAAAAGTCTTGCGTGTAATAAAGCTAAGTTGTCTTCAGTGTAAAAACTTGGAGGTATGAACAAACTCAGGACGTCATACGCGGTGAGTTAATGGACATTTCCTGTCGTGCACAGTGCAGCATCTTACACAAGGCAAATGGTCTCCTTTCAGCTTTAACGGTTCAGCATAACCCACATTTCAGTTCTGAATAAAAACACCACAATATATAAACCCACTGAGAATTCTGTACAGAAATACAAGTTTATAGAAATCTGACTTCAAATATAAATACATAAATTGTCATGACCTTCCATGTTATAACAGCTTATTTTTCTACTGTAGTTTTTTAAAGTCATAGAAAAATATTCCAATGCACATTCAGCTGCTATGACAGGGGCCGTGACCTGTGCCTTTGAACCATGCTGTGAAGTGTAAAGTGCCGCCCCGGGCGTTTCTGGAATGAACGTTGCTGAGGTCCCAAGGCCGGAGGCCACCGCGTAGACACTCCCGCTCCAATAAGAACCAAACAGCTCCGCGTGTGCTCGGAGGCTCCGGGCGGAGAGTGGCGGCCAGTGCTGTGCACAGGCCCAGAGCGGGGAGGGCTCGTGGGCGAGGGCACTGCACCCACCCGCCAGGCTGGCCCCCAGTGGAGGAGCCCGCCTCCATCACACCAGCCCGGCTCCCGTGTCAGCGCGAGCGGGGAGCACCCTGCAGTCTCTGGTCGGACAGAAGACGAGCCGTGCACCCCGAGAAACCCGCCCCTCACCGCCGGGGACAGCGCAGTGCTTCTGAACACGTACTGACGGGGGCTGCACCGGACAGCACGTGGCCTGAAGGGCAAACATTCCCGCTCAGACAGCCTGACCTCAGGCGTGTTCTTTCTCTTCCTTTCGTGGTTTAGCGGGTCCCTGCGAGGTGTACTTCCCGCATTTAAAACGCGGGCCATGAGGACAGCAGGTGCGAGAGGCTGCCAGCAGTGAAGGTTCTCTATGGCTTTAAGTGGCTGAGGCACAATCGGGCAGCCGCCACCTCTGATGTTCACCTGAATCCTCCTGGGGGCCACGGCCAGTGAGGTCTCTCACCATCTGTCGGGCCAGAGGGCGCAGGAGCCATCCGCAGGGCTCTGGGCACTAAGGCTGGGAGGCCTGGCGTGCGGCTGGGAAAAGGCAAGCAATCCCGCACGCTGAGCCCCAGAACGGCAGCGCCTCTGGGCAGGCAGAGCCCCCCATGTCACCGCAGGGTTAGCAGCAGGCCCCGGGCCACCCGCACGGAGGAACGGGGCGATGGACGGAGCGGGCAGACCTGGAGGACCAGCGCGGGGAGGAGGGTGGCGTGGTGGGCGGCAGGGGGGGAGTCTGCCCGCAGGATGGTGACGGCAGCGATGCGGAAGGAATGGTGCGGGCGTGTGAAGGGAATGCCACACAGCTGGTGCCTCCCCTGGACACTCCCCGGGCCACTCACATCCACGGCTGACTGCCCCGCACTGAGCCGTTGTTAGGGACACTGACCGGGCCCGGTGCCCGGACACGTCATCTTGGCAGCGAGAGGGCCTGAGAGAGAACGACCCAGAGCCCTTCCCAGTAGACGGGCTGCGGCGATCCGGTGACAGTGTGTGGGGTCAGTGACGGTCCTGGAGACGGCTCTCCTCTCCCAGGACCTGAGCAGAGCCGGCTCTTCTCCTGAGGCCGCTCCCCGGGGGCTCGGGCCCCCACAACAGTCCGATGGGCGTGTGCGTGCGGCCTCGTCCGTCCCAGCTTCCTCCCCGCAGCACCGGCAGCGGCTCACACCTCCCCCAGGTCCACAAACTCGTCCTCGCGCGTGGCCAGGTCGTCCTCGCCGCCCAGGGCCTTCCAGCCGCTGGTGGGCAGCAGGGGCTTGGCGGAGGGCCGCTGCAGCAGGGCGAAGGGGAACAGCGAGGACAGGCGCGCGCTCCGCGGCAGGCCCGGCGTCCCCGCCCCCGCCCCCGCCCCCGCCCCCGGCTGGGGCCGCTCGCCCACCCTCTCCTGCAGGCGCCGCACCTCCTCCATCACCCCCAGGAGGCTGCTGGCCAGGGCGCCGGCGCCCCCGCCCGGGATCTGGGCCTCGGGGATCCAGCGCAGGTAGCGCTGCGCCCAGACGCGCACCTCGGGGCCCTCGACGTGCGGCAGCAGCAGGCCGTGGTAGTCGGGGGCCCTGCTGTGCCAGCTGTCGTAGAACTCTCGGAAGTTGTCCTGCAGCTCATCCGAGTAGTTGATCAGTTTGCTGATTCTCTTGCCCAGAAGGTTTTTAATTAAATGGTCCGTTTCTTCCCTGAAAAACCCTCTTTTGGGCGATGACTTGGACTGGGTGAGCGGCAGAGAAAGCTGTCGCTGGTGCTGAGAGGAAACACAAACAGCCTGGTCAGCCCGCCGCTCCGGCCGCTGTTCCCCCCAGAAAGGGCCGGCCCGGCCCGGCCAGCGAGCCAACGGCCCTCAGCCCGCCGCTCCGGCCGCTGTTCCCCCCAGAAAGGGCCGGCCCGGCCCGGCCAGCGAGACACCGGCCTCAGAACGGCCCCGTGCACGCCAGGCCCCGAGAACGCTCCGAGGGCGGCTTCGTGGCCCTCCACAGCCCCGTGCGCGAGCTGTGCCACCGAGGGGAGCCGTCCGCCCGCCCCGGGCACAGGCCGCCCCCGGGCACAGGCGCCCCGGGCACAGGCCGCCCCGGGCACAGGTGCCCCCGGGCACAGGCCGCCCCGGGCACAGGCGCCACGGCACCGGGCACGGGGAAGGGCGGGTCTCCCGAGCCGGAAGCTCTGGGAACAAGCGTCCCCTCTGACCCGGAGGAGGCAGCGCCAACCACCTGGCCACCTCAGGGGAATGACCGTGGTCTCCAGGCGGGGAGCTCAGGCTCAAGTCAGCAGGTTGCTCTAGACCGGGGGGGGGGGGGGGGGGGGGGGACATGTGAGGACGGACTGCCTGGCCAGATGGTCTCCTCTGACAAGCTGCAGGAGGGAAGGTGAGTGCGCTCACCTGGTCCTTCTCCCTGCCGCCCAGCATGTGCTGGGGGGGGGGGGACGGGGGGACAGCTCTGGGAAGACAGGGCGTGTCTGGCTTACCAGTTAGTAACTCAGCTCACTCGGGGACACGCCTGTCCGGACTTCTCCCCACAGACCCCACAAAGGGAGGGCAGTCAGGCCAATCCCCAGCCCCTGACGGTCCCCTTCCCGCCCCTAAAGGCGGGAGCCTGGCTGCTCCGTGTGGGCCGTGGCCACCCTCCAGTGGCACAGCTGCTGCTGGGCCCTCCGGGGGCCTCAGCCAGGCCTCAGCCCAGGGTGGCTGTCCCCTCACTGCTACCCTCTTTCCTGCCTGTAAGCCTCCAGAACGGCCAGAGATTAGCTTCTGCTTGTGTGCTGCGCCCCCTGGTGGTGCCATGCCCACTTCTGGTGACAGCGGAGCTAGGATCTCAGACCTGCCCCAGGCCTGTGGTGAGGGACCTCAGCGGTGGCAAGGCCTAACCCTTACTTGGTTGGCCGGTTGGTTGGTTGGTTGGTTGATTTTATATGTTTTATTGATTTTGGAGAGGAAGAGAGAGAGAGAGAGACAGCAGTGATGAGAGAATCACTGAGGCTGCCTCCTGCACGCCCCCACAGGGACCCGCCACTGGTTCCCAGCTCTGCGGACAGGCCAGCCCCAGCGTCCCGCTCATCCCTCCACACTCGCCGGCGGGTGCAGGGCCGGGCAGGGGCCTTACTTTGAGATGCGTGCCTTTCCGCTGGCTTTTGTCCAGTTTGGGCTTTTCCACGTACAGAGGGTTCTGGAGCAAGGTCTGGGCTTCGGGTTCAAACTGTACGGACCAGTCCCACACGGTGAGCAGGTGCAGAGGCGCACTGGGCACATCCAGGCCTTCCCCGCCCTGCGAGACAAGCACGGTCAGGCCGCTCCGGGGGGCAGGGAGAGGCGGGCGGACTCAGCGGCGGGCATGGGAGGCTCCTGCTGGGACCAGCACCCACGCGCCTCGCGTCCCAGGCTCCTGCCCCAGGCTGTGGGCTGGGACAGGAGAGGGCACGTGCCAGTCGCTGTCCTGGCACTTCCACAACCACCTGTGAAGTCCGTTCTTTTTCCAATTTTACATTAGGCTCAGAAAACTAAGTGCCCGTCTGAGGTCACGAAGCTGGGGCTCAGGACTGTTCCCCACCTCACCGTGGGATCTGGCAAACCCTCCTGGAAGGCCGGCAGGAGGCCCCCGGCTGCAGGCTCGGGACACGAGGGAGCACAGGCCGCGCTGCCCGCTGCCGGTCTCCATTCCCCCGCGGGGCTCCCGCATCGAGGCATCAGCGGCCAGGAGAGGCCTCGATCCACCGAGTCAGGAAGGACGGCATTCACTGCGGTCCACTCCCCGGCTCCCGCCTGTCTCCCGCTCCGTCCTCCCATCCACGAGGTGAGCGAGGGCTCCGCTGTGCCCCTCGGGGACAGGGACAGCGCCCAGGAGGCACTCAGCGCGGCTCCCACTGCCGTGTGCGGCCGCTTCCCCGTCACCGGCCTTCCCTTCCCGCACCTCCTCGCCGACGCTCCCCCCCGCGGCCCTCGGAGGGGCTCACCGTGCTGGTCTCCTTCTGGTGGGGCGAGTTGAAGAAGAAGGTGCTGAAGATGGGGATGTACAGGCTGTCGGACAGGACGGTCAGGTACGTCTCCGTGAACTCGAATGCCGGGGGGTGCTGGCGCACCAGCTGCCACACGCAGTCCAGGAAGAGCAGGAACACGGGGACCTGCGGGGACAAGGCCCGTCACTGCGGCCCAGGCCGCGCCCCGGGCTCGGAGCCCCCGCCGGCCGGAGGGCCGCCTGAGCACCGCTGCCGGCCTCGGAAAGCACGGGCCGCGGCCCGCTGCGGGAGCTGCTCAGCGTTCTCTGGGCTCCCCCCTGGGCACGGCTCCCCTCTTCTCAGACACGAACACTCTCCTCCACGGTCCCAGCTCTCTTGCCCATCGTATTACGTGAGTCCCAGAAGCTTTCAAACTAATGTCCCTGAAAGGCAAGCTCCGCCCGAGAACGAAGACGGTGACTCCCACCCAGCTCAGGGAGACCCAGCCGGCACGAAAGAAAGGCACTCCAGGCCAGCGAGAGGCCCGCCGGGAACAGACACGCTCGTCATCTGGAGTGAGAAAAGCCACGAGGCATGCGACTAGCATACGGCTGCTCTGCAGGTGATTCAATTCAAGGGCGGACGCGCTTCCCTTTTCCTCCTGTGATCGTTAATCACACCGCCCCGGGGCCCAGCAGGACCAGGAGAACCACTCCAACGCTGCCGCTCCCGCACTGCCCTGCACTCAGTCCACAGGCAGAGGCAGGGCCGGTCACTCAGACACACCACCGGGCCCCGACAGCAGGTGGCGCTACCGTCACCCTCTGCTTTACTCTGGACCATTTATGTGCAAGGAAAATGGATCCTGTGTCACGCGTTTTCTATAGGAAGCTCACACCCTGAGAATCCATCATTTTGCAAAAAGTAACTTAGCAGAAATGATCTCTTACTGAGCCAACTTTCGTTTAAGTCTGACACATCGGTACTCCCCCGCCATGAAACATCTGCATCCTCCTGCACACCCTGCAGAAGAGGAGCTGAGCCCGCTCGCTAACATCACTTCTGTCCTCCGGGAAGGGCTTCAGTGTTTAAACCCCAAAGGCAGCAGGGCGGCCACCACAGCCTTCCCGCCGAGCGGCCCCGGGCGTCTGCACAGCCCGCCCGGAAGACCGGACACGCACCTCCTCCTTGTCGCTCTGCCGCAGGTGGTTGCAGCGGTCCAGGAAGCAGTGGCCGCCGGCGACCCACTCCTTCTGCACCAGGCTCTGGAAGCCGGCCCTGGTCCTGCAGTGCGGGTCCATCATCACCTGCACCAGCGAGGAGACGAGGCAGCAGAGGTCGGAAGCGTTCTCCTCTAGGAGCCGGAAGGAGGGAGAGAGTTAAACCTCCAGAGCACCCGCAGCGCACGCAAGAGCAGGCCCCCAGCACCCGGCCCGCCATGGACGGCCCGCTCCAATGCCCTCAGGAGTGCGCCAAGAACTTCGGCAACGGCAAACGGCGACGTCCAGAGCCAGCAGGGCCCGCACACGGCACTGAGCACACGGTGCCCGCAGGAGTGAACGCAGCACCGCAGACGGAGCACGCCTGAGGGCTGGGTCACACACGCAATGGTGACCTGCTGGGCCTGTAGACCACGCTCACCACCCGGGCTGCGTGTCCACGTCTCCGTCACGGAGCCCAGTTCGCAGGAGCTGCTCTCGGACCCTCCTCAGAACTCCTTTCCGGCCCAGCCCCTCCCTCTGCCCTCTGCCCTCCGCCCGGAGAAAGCGCCCAGGGCTCCACGCCTGTGCGTCTGCGGGTGCAGGGCTGCGCTCCCTGCCTGGCCGGGCAGCTCCCATGGCGAGTCCCCACCAGCCCTGAGGGGCACTGCACAAAGCCCACTCCATGACAACGCCACGCAAACATCTGCGTACGCTCATGGCCAATAAAACACATCTGCAACTGTGCGTTTGTCTTGGAGTGTTTTAAAATATTAAGTCAGGTTCTAACACCCGGGTTTCCTCTCCATAAAGAGAAGTGTCATTCCAGTTGCTATTTTAAAATGTCCCACGAGGACGGCGGTGCTGGCATTGGGGGTCAGAGACGGTAAGAAGGCACCGAGAGCAGGGGGAGCAGTCTGGCCCTGGGACCCCCCTCAGACCCGCCTTCACCCCACCTCCTTGCCGCTGGCAGGACTGTTCTGTGGCTGCTGGTTAGGTCTTTCTCAGTAACGTGCTTAGGCCAACTCTCCCAGTTGGCAGTGAGCTCCTGGAAGGCAGAGCACGGAGCTCAGCACGCAGTAAGTGCTCAGTAAACGTATTAGAATCCAGGCCAGCGAGCCTGCGTCACGTGGGGTGGAAGCACAGACAGACACTTCTCCCGCCTGCCCATAGACGCTCACGCTCAGCCGCCATGCAGCGTGTCAGAGAGCCCGAGGCGACCTACCCAACGGGCAATGTGGGGCTGAGAGAACCCAGTGTTCCCAGCAGCAGGCCGCGCTGGGCTCCAGCCTCACACACGGGGAGTGCCTGTCTGTCCCACATACCGCAGGCCGAGCCGAGGAACAGAGCTCCTGCGGCAACTGCCCAGGTTGTTGAACAGAAACATAGAAAGACAATAATTAAACCTCCCCCGGGTCTCTTTCTACAAAAGGGATTATCCAAAGATTGTAACTTTAACCAAGACCAGTTAATATAAAACCAGATCCCAGACATCAGAAAGCGAGCCTTGTACGGACACGGAACCATTCCCTGCTGGGCTGCGGACACGCTGCCGAGCTCCGGGGAAGGAGCGTGTGTCTAGCTGAGCACGGAAGCGGGCGCCCAGTTCTGCCAGGCCAGGCGGAGCGGGCAGATGCCCACGCTGGTCGTTCCTTCGGGGCGCATGGGCTATGCCCACAGAACGAGCCTCAGGAGGGATCTGGAGACGGGCTCCTACCTACGAGGAGGACGTTGGTGCTCTGCGCGTCCAGGCACTCTGCGACCTCGATCGCCTTCTTCAGGCAGCGTCTGCGTGACGAGACAAGAGAAGAGGCGTCCGTCTGGGCTCGGCATCAAACAGGAAGAGACTGAGAGACAGTCCACGCTGATCTTCAGTTTCCCTCTTACTCACTTTCGCTAAAACCCTCCAAAAGAAACAGATCTGCCAGACACTCGTTTGCCTATTAGAAACTTAACCTTTTCAGCCAAAACCGGTTTGGCTCAGTGGTAGAGCGTCGGTCTGCGGACTGAAGGGTCCCGGGTTCAATTCTGGTCAGGGGCATGTACATTGGTTTCGGGCACGTCCCCAGTGGGGGGGTGCAGGAGGCAGCTGGTCGATGTTTCTCTCTCATCGACGTTTCTAGCTCTCTATCCCTCTCTCCTCTCTATAAAAAATCAATAAAAACATATTTAAAAAAATAAAAATAAAAAATAAAAAGAAACTTAACCTTTCAGAAGGGAATCTCAAGACAGATGTAAAAATGCTCCCAGGTGGTTTCTAACTAGAAATCCTCAGTGGGAACTCGGACAGATACCTGCCAGCCCCCACCAGGTGCTGCATGCCCCCCGCTTCATTCAAGGTCACAGCCAGGGGTCGGTGTGTGAGACACTCCCCCACCCCAAGGTCCTGCGAGTCCCCAGATCACTGCTCCCTACAGGACGGTGGCCGAGGCGGGCAGCCTGCCTCTCCTCATCCCAGGGCCCCCGTGGACAGTCCTCTGCCCAGGGCACCGCCCACTCCGCCCCTTCATCTGCTTGCGGACATCACCCTCCCCGCCCCACAGAAAGAGGCCTGTGGACACGTGTCGCTGCTCGCAAGAACATATTCCGAGTCTGAGACATGCAGCCAGCGCTTCGAAGCGTGTCTGTGAGGGAACGTGGGCAGGAGGCTCTCCCACAATGCGCGTGGCCCTCCTCCCCCACGCTAAGCCCAGGACCAGAGCAAAGGTGTTTAGTCCACAATCAGCACCCCTCCCCGCCCCCGCCCCCCACCACAAGGCCGGAGCAGGGTTCTGGCTGCCTCGCCCTGTCGCTTCTCTCAAGGCCTAGTCCACAGTGGAGAGCATGTCTCCTGGGGAGCAGGGAGCAGTCTGTACGTTCGGACCCAATGTGCACAGAGAGAATGAATAACTGTGAAACAGACACGTAAACCATCTGTCAATCTGCTTTACGGCAGTCAGAGCACTATAAAAGTCAGGAGCAAAACAACGGCTTCAAATACCTGATTATGTCGAGCCAGCTGCTGCTTTCCAACAAGGAAAACCACTTGATATCCGTGTCCCAGAACTCAGCGCTGTTATCTGGGGGAGAGCAGAGGTCAGGCGGCGCACTGGGTCTCTGCTGCTCCCGCTGCTGCGCCCGGCACCGGCCTCCGTCCCGAACGGCGCGTCCGGGCTGCGGCTGCAGGGCTGAGCTGGGCGCCCGGAGCGTGGGGCAGTGAACCGGGCGCAGTGCCGAAGGAGAGGACGCCCACCACACCAGAGCCATGCCCGCTGGTGCCAGGAGGGAGCGGCTTGCTCTGGCGGACACGGTGGATTCCTGGGGACGTGTCCTCCTGCTTCACCCTCACCACAGCCCAGGGAAGGGCTACAGGCCGCTGCTCCTAGAAGTGGGCACATCCTGGTGCCGTGAGGGCCCGGGGGAGACCCAGCCTCCACTGGAGCCCTAAGAACTCCCCTACGTTCACCTCGCACACCACTGCCGGCCAGCCCACCTGACCACAGCCCGCACCCGCAGGCGCCTACTGCTTCAAGCTGCAGAGTCAACCAAAGGGCCCGGACGGTGAACTCCAGAGGACACTCCAGTCCTGCATCTGCGAGGTAAGGGCCCAGGGACCAGGCAGCACCGCCCACCTGGCCCGCTGGCTGTCTTCCTTCATGACAGCCGCCTTCCCCGCATGCTCTCACCTATCAGAAACAGCTGCTTGAACTTGGAGTACGCGGTCTGGATGTCTGGCAGGGACAGGAAGTTGCTTGACAGGTCTTCAGTTCTGACCATCTCATAGGGTGGCCTGTGGATGACCCTGTAAACTCTAGGGACCGAAAGTAACGCGTGATCAGAAAGGCAGGCGTGGGCCAGAGGGGCGGATGAGTCCTGAGCACTGACTCCGGCCGGACCCTCCACGTGACCCTCACCTGGAGCGAGGCAGGCACCCGGCCCCGTGCCAGGCAGTGCGCGTGGCAATGAGGTGTGTGCGGTGCGGCAGCTTCCGGCCCGCGATGAGGCCGTTTGGACACTGATGGAGTGTGGTTTGGCTACGGCCATTCACCACCCACGTCTATGCCTTTTCTGCGTTGTTTGGTTTCCAGCTTTACAGAGATATAACTGACACACAGCTCTGTCTGCGGAGTGCAGAGCCTGGCCTACAGCTACTGTGAATGACCACACGGTAACTAACGTCCAAGATCTCACAAACGCTCTTTTCCTCTCCGTTTTGTTCTGAATTGGTTTCAGGTGGACAGCTTAGTGGTTAGACCACATGTGTCAAACACAAGGCCCGCGGGCCAAATCCGTCCCGCCAGGCCTTGCAATGTGGCCCGCACCGCGCTGTCATCACTGCACTCCGCTGCGTTTCCATCACAATGACAGTTTATGACTGTTCAGTAAACCATTCGGCCCGAGATTTAGGCTGGATTTTAGATTTTGGCCCCTTCTCTGATTGAGTTCGACACCCCTAGGTTAGACAATCACATCCTCTACATAACGTTCCTCTTCATAGTTCCAATACCCACCTGGGACCATATGTACTGCAATGTTATCGATTATATTCCCTCCGCTCTACCTATGTCAACGTGACTATTCTGTAACTATCCATTTGTGCTTCTCAATCCATGGACTTTGGGGTTTAACTTTTAATTTTGAAAATGTCAAACATGCAGCACAGTGATGGGCAGTGTGACCTCAACTGGACAGCTGTGACCAGCACAGACACCCGCCACTGCCCCCCGGTGCTCAGCGTGCATCATTACAGACGGCCATGGAGGGTGCACAGGCGGTGCCATGCTCTCTGAGGCATACAGATGTGGAGACGCTGCTGGGAACTGTCCCTTCCTCTCGGACAACAAGAACAGAGCTGACAATCACAAATGCTGAGAGACTCACCCGTCCAGGAAGCTCCTGTGGGTCTGCAGAACGGCCTCGTCCTGCTCCTTGGGCAGCGCGGACATCTTCAGAAGGGCACACCCATTGTGGTAGGACCAGCACCAGATCTGCAGGGGAAGGGAAGGTTTTCTAAGACCATACCCACGACCGACAGGGAACAGCCTTTAAATTCAGAGAAAAATGTGTAAGTTCAATACTACATGAAGGAAGAGCTACACGAAAAAGGCTGACTGGCTTAGACAACAAGGTCCGGGTGGACACGCGCAGACTGCCGTGGTGACACACACCGTCCGACCGGGCCTGCGCACTGGAGCTGGAGGACGGCGACACCATCGCCGTGATTACTGCGGTGTGACTCCTGCTGCCGGGCCGGCACCTGAGTCAGCGCACTCAGTCCTCGCCCGGGGGCAGGTATGATTATCATCCCCGTTAACAAGAAGACACTGAGGCTTGCAGACCAGTAACTTCCCAAAGTCGCACGGACGGCCCCAGCAGCCCGCCTGGGAGGGGTGTGCTCTGCAGGAGGGGCAGCTGCTGTCCGCAGAGAAAGCTCACACGAGACAGAACGGCAAGTTGCCATTGAACGAACGTGGATACGAGGCACGACAGACACTGACTGGGGCTGCGAGAGGAAGCACAGGGGCTGAGACATGGCCGCCAGCACTAGCTCACCCTCCAAAGGGACAGGAGTCTACCAACGTAGGTAGGATGCGGCCACGGGGAGAGAACGCCAGGACAACAAAGGGAAGGCGGGCAGGGCGGGGGAGTCCTGCGAGCCACCAGTGGCAGTCTCCTGTTGTTCTGGACACGCCGCCATTCTCCTGGCTGGTTGGTCTGCGGTTTGCAGGAGCCGAAGCAGATCAGCAGTGCTCGGGGCACTGACCAGCCAGGAGGGCCTGGGAGGGAGGCAGGCGAGGCAGCTGGGGCCACTGAGCCCATGCCTGGGCTTGGTGCCTGGTACACAGCCTGGCTCAGGGTTCGAAGTGGCTACCGCTCCACTGCCCGGCATCGGGCCCGGGGCTCCCAGGCGGGCCGGAGGGTTCCAGCTGCCACTCCTCCGCGACACTCCAGCCTGGCCGGTGCCGGGGTCTAAGGAACCGAGTGCCTCTCGTCCTTTCCCTCCCTTCCCGCAGCAGAACGGCTGGCTCCGGCGATCACCGTCACTCGTTTTCTGCTGCGGCACAACCACCCCGCTAGGTACTCACTGCCTCGGTGCATGGGACAATGCTCACACAGCCGAGACCCCGGCCTGCGCCAGGTTAGTCTTCAATATGGCAAACATCAGTGCACGCAGCCACAGAAACCAAGACTCTTGAGATCCTCAATAATTCTTAAGAGTGAAAAAGTCTAGAGACAAGAAGTTTGAGAACGGCTGCTCTAAATGTAAGGTTGCAAACAGGTGGACATGATCCAACTCGGGCCCAAAGACAAGTTGTTTACACCTTCGACTCAGACGCATGCTTTTAGAAATGAGGAGACGCGCAGAAATCCCTGTCTGAGCCTCCTCTGGAGGCGTCAGAGCCCTGGCCACGCCAGGCCATGTTCCCTGGCACAGGCCGCCGGCCGGCTTGTCAGGGCCGCACTCACGGCGCCCGGCCGCACGCACCTCTGGGCAGGCACCCGGCTCCACACCCCTCCCGCCAGAGTGAGCGCCTTCCTCTCCTCACAGGAAAGAGCCCCGTGGGCAGTCCTCATTCCTCACTGAATTCCCCAGCTCGGCCACGCCCAGCCGCCCACTAGAAACTGGCGTCACCGCCAGAGTCCTGCCTTTGCTCAGTGAGACGTTAAATGTGCTCCCAGCCCAGTCTCTGGGGAAGACGCCCTGCCCGCCAAGGGGAGTGGGGGAGCCCAGGAGGAGCTCGGACCCCACGCCCTTCGAGGGTCGGCCCAGCCTCAGGTGACTTGGAGCTCTCGTAGCGCTTCGTCCACAGCCGAGCTCCCAAAGCGTCTGCTGAGCTCGCCGTGCGGCCCCTCCCGGCAGCCTCAGGCTGACACCCCCGAGGGAGCCGCCTCGCTCCTCCCGGATCACTCTGGGGCTGAAGGCAGACTCTGGCGCTAAAGCCGCAGCTCCACAGACCGTGCCGAGCGGAGCGATGAGCAGCCAGGCGGCCAGGGACCCGTGCACTCACCGGGACGCCGTGGCCCTGGAAGCGCGACACGCTGTCTTCGGGCAGCGGCGCGGGCACGGCGAAGTACGCGGGCAGCCTGCGGAGAGAGGCGTCGCGTTAGTGCGGGCTCGTCCCCGTCTGACAGCGCAGCTCCGTGGGCTCCGAGGCCGAGCTGCGAGGACCAGCGCAGGTGAGCTCTCTCCAGCCACGTCAGCAGAGCCTGCATCACAGCCGCGCTCTGCCGCGTCTGTCCCCGCAGGTCCATGACCCACCTCTGGGCCAGGCCTCACCCCAGAAGGAGGGACTGGACTGGTGATCTCCACAGTGCACAAATGCCAGCACGGAGTGGCCTTTGCCATCACGTTCTGACAACATAGGCCACTGTGTTGCTCTCAGTGGGATTACTAGTAAAGCAGTAATTAGGGTGACTCCTGCCCATTTCACCAGGGATCTCACAACCCTCGGTGTTACTGTATGCGGACTCTGTTCCTATCCCCCACCATGGACTTACTTCACCTTCCCGAGAGCACGCCGAGGCCTGTACTGCGGTTACTCCTTTCGGCAGGTGAAGAAGCGGAGACAGCACAGCTAAGGCCTCCCAGGCTCCACCGAGTGAGCAGCCGTGGGGGACCTGGCCCAGCACTGCAACTGCAGGTTCCCAGGGACTGTCTACAATGACCCCCGCTGGACGGGACGTGGGGAAGAGGGTCCGAGGGGCCAAGCACAGAGCTCCGTGGGCTCCAGGCCTCCGTCAGCAGGACAGCTTCTTCCAAGGAGCCGCCCACAGCTATGGCCCTCGGGCTGTCTGTGTGGCTGGGAGCTCTTTCACTCAGAGAGCCTGAGAGAAAGCCTCCCGGGGCAGGGACCCAGGGCGACACCCCAGAGCAGCAATGTCGCGCTGTGCTGTCTGTCCACAGGCCCTGCCCTACGAGTCCTACAGGCCGAGGCCCGCCGCCACCTTCCTGGGCAGGGAGAGAAGGCTCTGGGGGGAGCAGCAGGCTGTGGTGCTGGGCAGCCCACTCTGACGGTGGAGGTGGTGGGGAGGTGATGAGAACGGAGCCTCTCACTCCTGTCCAGACTGACCAGTCCCTCTCACCACCGGGAGGCATGGGCACGCGGACGGGGCGGCATGAGTCACATCCTGGGTGCGACGCGGGTGAACAGCATGCGGTTCCTTCATGCTGCTCAGAACAGCACCCGACTTCACCCTTATGAATTGTTTATTTCTGGAATTTTCCGTGTAATATTTTGACCTGCAGTTGACCACAGGTAACTAAAACCGTGGAAAACAAAACTGTGGGTAAGGGGCTGTTCCAGGCACATACGTGAATGTACCAAGTTGATGCAGCTGTCAGCAGAGTGCTGGGCGCTACGTTCCAAAATGATAAGATTCCAGTTCCTCAGGGAGAACATGCAGAGTCATCCTTAAATGTAGGTCAGAGCACATCCCACCTCTGCTCAGACTCCTCCCTGAGCTACGATCCTCTGAAGCCTCCCTCCCGGGCAGTCACCTCCAGCCACTCCCTCCTCCCACCCTCTCCTCCCACTCCTCCGGCCCTGCTCACCGCCCTCCAGCCCAGGCCTCGCTGCTCCTCACCCAGCGGACAGGAGTCTCCCGAGGCCTTGGTTCCGCTGGCCTCGCTCCCTGCCCACCAGGCGCTCCCTCACCTGCCCTGCTCCCCTTTCCCCTCGCAGGCACTGCCTTTCCGCCCCCTGCAGATACCCCCACCCGCCCCCACCCCCCCGCTCCGTCCCCTCTCCTCCTGCAATGACAGCTCACTGCTGTGTCCTTAGTGACACAGAGGAGGCACTAAGAGCTTTCATGGAATGAATAAATAAATTGAAATGTTTGATAAGAGGAAAGCAAATACACAATATAAATTTAGAGATACCTCAAAAAACTTTATGCTTCGATTACAGATACAATAATGGGGGGAAAGACACAAATTTGCGTTGGAATGTTTTAAGGGACACCTCACGGGTACTAGTGTGGAGAAGGGGGAACTTGATGGGAATGTAAATGGAGCAGCTGCTGTGGAAAACAGAGCGGCAGTTCCTCAAAAAGGTAAACTCAGTTGCTGCCTGGCCTAGCGACTCCTCTCCCAGGTATTCACCCAGAGAACCGGAAATTACACCCACACACAGCCTGGCCTCAATGTCCACTCAGCGTTCCTCATAAAGCCAAAGAGTGGAAATTACTCACATGCCCACCCACCGACGGCAGGTGAATAAAACGTGGTTCACACATGCATTCCGTGAAACACTATTCAGCAACAGAAAAGCATGGCCTCCTAATGCATGCCACCACAGGGATGAGCCGTAATAACACTGCGCCAAGTGAAAGCAGCCAGCACACAGGCCACGTGTCACATGATCCCATCATAGGAATGTCAGAGCAGGCCAGTCTGCAGAGACAGCGAGTGGGTGAGTGGCTGCCGGGGCTGGAGGTGTGGTGGGAGGTGGGGAGACTCCCAATGAGGCCGAGGAAAACTGGCCGGAGTCATGGGTGCAGAGCGTGTGAGTATACTGAAAATACCGTATGTTTCCCACAGGCGAACCGTGAGGCATGTGAATTAAATCTCAACAAGCTTTTCCCAGAAGCAGGCGCCTAATGCTTACCTCTCGCAGACCCTGTAGCCTTCGTTGACGCTCACTGCTTTGTACTTCATGTTGCCTCTGGTGCGCTCCAGCTCCCCGCGCCAGTCCTCCAGCGTGTCGAACATCACCGTGTGTTTTTGGGGACTGGCGGCTAACAAAACAAATGTAAAAGACAACACGCTCTCAGCATGAAGCACCAGTGTGCTAAGGATGTGAAAGTGAACCCTCAGGCCCAAATTCCTCTCCTAGCCCATTACCATCCAAGCAGAATGAGCCACTGCTTCATCCTAACCTCGGCCCCAACTGGGGATCAAACCTGCAACCCAGGCACATGCTCTGACTGGAGACCGAACTGGCAGCCCTTCAGTGCACGGGTCAACCCACTGAGCCCTCCCAGCGGGTGAGGCGCTGTCTTTTCATCCTGTAACAAAGGACTCGCTCTCATTCTCCTCTTGCTGAAGTCATTACAGCTCCATTTTCAGTCTTCTGACCGTGAGGTGATTTATATGACATAGAAGATCCTGAGAGGCACTAAGAGACGGGCGCAGCACAAATGCTAAACAGTGTCTTTAGCCCTACCATTATTGCACAGGACGCAAACTCATCTGACAGCAGGCCAGACCCCTGGGTGTAAATCCTCCTTCACTCTGCAGACACCTCGCTCCTGAGGCCACACAGAGCTCCCGCGCTGCCGCCTCTGCCCCTGCCCTGCCCGGCGACCACCTGCAGGGAGGGCACCCCCAGGAGACTGCTTCTGTAGCTCAGCCCCCGGCCCTGGCCCTGGCCCTGGCCCTGCCCAGGCCACAGCACTGCTGGCTGGGGTGACGTGCACAACGTTTGGGGTATTTACACAAATCTGTTAGTTAAGCCTTTACACATCTTAAAAAAAACAAGCATTCTGGGGGTAGTGAAATGTTTGATAAAACTCCCCCCTGCTCTTTTTAATAAAACCTGATCATTGTACTCAGGATGATAACAAGAAAAATGATTTTAAAAACACAGCAGTTAAGTATATAGCACTTGGATGTGCTAGGCACTGTTCTGAGCATACTACGTGAATGAGCTAAGTCCTATAACCCTATGAGTTAGGTGACGTTATTTCTCCCAGTTTACAGATGCAGCACAGGAAGGTCAAATAACTTTCCCAAGTCACAGAGCTAGCCATGGCAGAACTGTAACTGAAACCTAGGCAAATATTTTTAAAAGTCCATAAAAGAATAAATGCAGAAAAATTTCCCCATGGACATAAATAACACCACTCCATTCAAGCATAACAGATCATTTTCTCCACAATACAGATAGGTCCTCCCCCAAAACGCCATCATAGGAATTAGGAGACCTTCCAGCCAAGCACCCTGATGAATTATTCAGCCTGAGAATAGTTACCCGTGTTCAGATTGCAAAGCAGCCAGCTCTCCACCCGCCTACTCAGCGAAAAAACTACCTGGTCAAGTCACAATGATCTGTTATAATCTTTACTTATCAAAAGTGTGGGTTATGAGGAGAAAAGAAGCTGGAATTAAAATAGAGTACAAGATGCTTCGTACCCTGCGCCTCTGGCACAACCAGTCACCACAAGGAAAGGGAACTGCCAGGGGCATCGGCACACAGCTGGCACATGCTCGCCAGCTGAAAAACTGCCCTGTGCTACGTCCAGACCAAGAGTCAGGTATAAGGAGGAAGCAAAATCCCTAAAAACAGTGGAGGGTTTTTCATGTGGAAACCCAATACAGGTTTATTTAAATCACAGTAGTCAGCAATACCTTGTATTGCAACTAGCAGGTGTAAGCTAGCACATACAGCTAAAGTGAAAGATGGCCCCAACTGGTGTGGCTCAGTGATAGGGTGTCAGCCTGAGGACTGAAGGGCCCTGGGTTCAATTTCTGACCAGGGCACATGTCCAGGTTGGGGGCTCCATCCCCAGTAGAGGGTGCACATGAGGCAGCCATTCAATGATTCTCTCTCATCACTGATGTTTCTCTGGCTCTCTCCCTTCCTCTCTAAAATCAATTTTTAAAATATTTTTTTTTAACGTGAAAAGATGAACTTAGTGAATGAAGAAACAAGTTTTATGTTCAGCTTAATAGTCGTGCTAACTACATGTTATGTCATCGTAGTTCTCTGAGCATAACCCGTCCTGTGTAATGCGCAGTAATACTCTAACTCACATGTGTCAAACACAAGGCCCACGGGCCAAATCCGTCCCGCCAGGCCTTGCAATGTGGCCCGCACCGCGCTGTCATCACTGCACTCCGCTGCGTTTCCATCACAATGACAGTTTATGACTGTTCAGTAAACCATTCGGCCCGCGATTTAGGCTGGATTTTAGATTTTGGCCCCTTCTCTGATTGAGTTCGACACCCCTACTCTAACTTAATCGCCGTCCCCTCTGGGCCGCACATTTTTGTTTAATATATTTTATTGATTTTTTACAGAGAAGAAGGGAGAGGGACAGAGAGTTAGAAACGTCGATGAGAGAGAAACATCGATCAGCTGCCTGCTGCACACCTCCCACTGGGGATGTGCCCGCAACCAAGGTGCATGCCCTTGACCGGAATCGAACCCGGGAACTTTCAGTCCCCAAGCCGATGCTCTATCCACTGAGCCAAACCGGTTTCGGTGTGTGGCACATTTAATAATTTATAATCTTCACTTCAAAGGAAGCATTAATACTATTGGTTTTTAAAATGAGAAAACAGAGGCCCCAGGCCCCACAGCTACTAAGCAGCTGAGCAAGGATGTGAACTGGAATGGGATAGACCCCGAGAGCCATACCTTTCTACTGCATCACCGAGTTCCCTAAACGCCACCTGCTCTCAGCCGCCTCCGCTCTGCCCGTCCCCTCTGGGCCACCGCACATTCCCACGTGCTGCCTGTCAGCTCAGCACAGCCTGCGCCTCCCCAGGCGGCCGGGCGTCCTCCTGCTCCTCAGCCCTTCCAACAGAGCCCACACCCTCAGCTGCTCCGAGCGGTGCTCTGGGGCGGGGGCTCAGTCCTGTTCACCCCAGCCCCTCACCTGCCCCTCAGCAAGCCGTGCACAAGTGCTGGCTGAACAGCAGCAAAGGCAAGCACTCCGCATTCCAGAAAGCCTGATCCGGTGCTGACTGACATGCCACTCCCCTGATGGAGCACACAGCACGGGAGCACCAAACATCCATTTCCCGGTAGGAGCAATGGGCAGAGCGAGAGGACCAGCAGAGGGAGAGCCCGGAGCAGGCAGGCGGACACTGGGACCCACGGCAGTGCCAGGCCTCGCTGAGAGCTAACTCAGATGGCTGAGCTTTCTTAGTTAAGCGGCCGCGCTCTTTTCCAGAGAGCCGAGCGGAAAATGTGTGGACTCTCACGTGTCCTAACCAGCTAGTTTTCTGAGGTGTCCTTTAAATAATGCTAACTGCACACCTTCTGAGTACTTCACCCAGATTCCCCGACTTAATCTCCCAAACACCTCAGTGAGGTAGATACTATTATTATCATCTCCACTTTACAGATGATTAAAGTGGACACAGAAAAGGTAAATAATTTGGTCAAGACCACGCAGCTAGCAGTGTGTGGACGTGGCATTCAAACCCAGGCAGGCGTTCTGGCGCCGGTGTCCACACCGCCTCTCAGGCTGTCCCATGAACCTCTGGCTGTCGCCTGATGTGTCCTTCTATGTACAGCTGCCCACTCTCCCCCGGGCACCTGCTATCAAGCATGTTCTGATTGTTTAAAAACTTTCAGGCTCTGGCGAGTGTGGCTCAGTTGGTGTGCCTACCAGACAGTCCCACATCGACCAAGAGATGGTGGGTTCGGTTCCCGGCCACAGTGTGTACCCAGATTGCAAGTTCAGTTCCTGGTTGGGGCACTTTTAGGAGGCAACCAATCAATGTTTCTCTCTCTTTCTCTCTCTCTTCCTCTCTAAAGTCAATAAAGACATATCCTCAGGTAAGGATTAAAAAATATAAACATTAAAAAAAACTTTCTGGAATGTAAAGCATCCTCTAGAGTCTTATGAAATGGAACCAAGTATATTAAAGTGGAAAAAAGAATCCAGGCACAAACAGGACAATTTTAAATTTGTCTCAATTTTCAATTTTCTTTCTCTGTAGTCTCACATCCCCAGTTATAATATATTGATTTTATCTTTCATAAGAAACAATCAAACCAATAATCTTCACAAAAAGGCAACAAACCTAAAAGATGAGTTAAAGCAACAAAAATCACAGGGGGAGGGGGGAGAAACTTTTTTCATTTAAAGAATCCTGCACGTGTCATTTCAGCAAAGGTGACAATTGCTAGAGCAGAGGAGAAATGCCCCATGAATGGGTTTGCTCCCACGGGTTTCAGGCAGAAACCGGAAGCTCCGCCCCCTACAAACTACAGCCCACAAGACACTCACGTGTGCTGCTGTGCGCAGCAGCTGCATAGGAGAAAAGGAACAATCGCTTCAGCCGTTTAGGAGACTGGGTGTGATGGATGATGCCACTGACAATCTGGAAAAGAAGCAGGCAATGGAGCCGTCATGTCTTTGGCAGAAAGCACAGAGTATCTAAGTTTTCATTCTGCTAAGAGGCACCTCAGGCAGCATGCGACAATGTGCTGAGATCTGCTTCCAGGATGCTATCCTATCTAATAAGGGGGGAATAAGCTATCTGACTGTCACACCCTCACAAGATGGCAGTGCCCACAGCCAATAAAGCAGGAATATGCTAATTGACTACCACACCCTCACAAGATGGAGGCGCCCACAGCAACAAGATGGCGGTGCCCAGTCCCCTCAGCCCTGCCTCCTCCAGCCAGAGACCCCTCGTCTTCTCAGCCCCACAGGGGAAGGTAGTTGGGGGTGATCGGACCGCATGGGAGGGCAGCTGGGGACGGTCATGCTGGCAGGGGAGTAGTTAGGCCTCAATCTGGCCAGCAGGAGAGCAGTTAGGAGGCAAGACGGCAAGCAGGCGATAGTGGTTAGGAGCCAGCAGTCCCGGGATCAGGCCTAAACCAGTAGCTGGACATCCCCCAATGGGTCCCAGATTGGAGAGGGTGCATGCTGGGCTGAGGGACACCCCCCCCCCAGTGCACCAATTTCATGCACTGGGCCTCTAGGCTCTTATAACACCCAACAAACACAGGCTAGCCATTCTTCTAGGTTTTCTAAGAGCTTTGAATTTCTAGGGAAATTTCTTAAGCCCAGTCAAATTTCTCAAAAACTAAGTGCTAAAAAACCTCAAAAGCTATATTTAGATACTCTAAAAATATGACATTAACAACATACAGCTGATTTCAGATAATAACCAACACATGGAGTGATCCTGGCCCATTTCTGGCCTTTAGGACTTCCTTCTAGAAGATCAGAAGAAGTCATTAATCAATTGTGCTTTTTTGTTCGAGGTTCCAAGCCAAAGCAAGTTTGGGTAGATGACTAAACCATCGCTCAGAGCGAGTTTCAGCTTTTTGGGGAACTTTCCGTGTCTACACCACTCTCCGGCTTGGAGAGAACCTGGGCCCCGTTCTCTAGTCTGAACGAGAGAACATCAGGACTTGCCTGTCAGTGTGCGTAACTCAGGGGCCAGAGAAAAGATGAACGGGGTCTCGCCGGGCTGCCCTGGTGCAGGAGGCAGGTCTGACCTCTTCAGTATCTCAGAGAGAGAGCTCAGGAGTCACAGTGACCACTGTGACCGGCTGACCCCGTTACTCATCTTTTTTGCTGTGGTAAGTAGATGGAGTCTACTCCAGTGTCCCCAAACACAGGGTCACCCGTGACCCGGCTGTGCTCATCTGACCTGTGCCGCCTCCTCCTTCCCAGACAGACCCCATCTGCCCCGGAGCTGGGGTCCCTGCTGCTGCCCCCGGAAGGCTGTTGGGGGCAGGTAAGAGGCCGCTTTAGCCGCTCCCTTCCCCTGACTGCTTCCTGGCCCCTGCAGCGGCTCCAGGAATAAACACATTGTGGACTAAAGTGGCATTTGCCAGGATAAGACATGGGCACGCTTTACCAAATATCTCTCAGTTCTGATCAAAGCCGATGGGATTACAACCAAGCTCAGCTTTGCAGAGCAAACGGCGCCCCTCAACCTTCATGCAATGTAAGCAAACAGGAGTGGGAGCCTGGGGGAAAGGGCCTGGAGCACAGGCAGCTAGTTACCCTTTTGACTTCCTCTTCCTTTGTGTACCTCAGACAGAAGTGGAATACCCGCAGGTCTTTGCAATGGATGATGAGCTTCTCGGGGTATCTCTTCAGTTGTCCAAAGAGGGTTTTCTTTTTCTCATCAAACACTGCACGTGATAAGTCAGAAGGGAAACGATGTTATAAGGCACCAAGCTGAAGAAACAATGCCGTAGCAGCCAGCAGGGCCCCCCAGCACCCCGCAGCGCCTGGCTCTGAGACGCTCAGGCCCCTCATTCCTCTGGAGGGGCACTAGACTCCGGGAGAGCGGCCTCCTCCGAAGGAGAGAACCCAGCTCTGAAAGCTGAGATTATGGACGACGGACGGAGGCCCAGAAACATGGTTTCAGGGCAGTCAACTCCTGGTCCGTGGCTGGGGCCCTCTGCCACCTCCCTGGCCCCAAGTTTGACCGTGCGGCTCCTGCTGGTGTTAGAAGCATCACAAATGGCTGCTGCGTGGTTTCTGGAAAAGCCCTTCTCGCAGAAATAGAGGGGAGCCGAGAGGCTTGACAGCCACACACAGGACACGCCCTTCCCCAGATTCCCCCTACAGTAAAGCCCACGCTAACGGCACAGCCACCTCCTCCGCAGCGGCACCATGGGCACTGCAAAGACCGGTTCTAAGGTCAAGTCCGAGCTCCTGCAGCTAAGTGACCCCAAACAATCACTTCCCATCTCATTTTATCAACCACGGCACTGATTTAAATAGGACAAACCTGTGGAGGAATTTCAGTAAACTACAGAAAACCATAGGAACTACATTATCAGCTACACTTTCAGAACCCCCTCCCCCCTCCACCTTGGGAAAAGAGATCCTTACCTCCATAAATCTGATCCACACAGTGCAGTGTGATGTCATTTGCTCCTACGATCTTATTCTTAAACTGGGTTTCCTAAAGGATTCAGAAGGAACAACTGTGACTCCTTTCCGTGCACTGCCGGACATTAGCATGGGCAGCTGGCTGTCCTGCGTGTGCATGTTAGGCAGCACAGAAGTGCGGCCACGTGCCTGGGCAGGGGCAGTAAAGCGTGTGGGAAGAGCTGGATCCGGTGTCAGACCCAGGCCGGGCACGCCGCTCCGGGGCCGCCCTGGCCAGCACACAGGAGCGCCGGGAGATGTTGCGATCGGTCACAGCAGCAGGTGAGGGCTGCACAGGACGAGCATGGCAGGCTCGTTCTCTAGGTGCTCTCACAGGCCGGGGCCAGCCGCCCGCGGGCGCACAGGCCACGGAGCCGCTGCTTCGCGGAGGGTGGCGGCCGGCGTGGCGCTCCCGAGCGGCGTGGCCAGCCTCGCGCTGCGCTGCCCGTCCCAGCCCCTGGGTGCAGAGCACACCGACGCCGCGCTGCCGCGGGCCTGTGCCTATGAGCCGTTCCCGGACTGAGAGCTCAGTACAGGGAACACGGGGCCGCGTATCTGAGGACCCGGATTCAGGGAGTTAGACACTGGGTGACAGAGACCGAGGGAAAGCGCCGGCCTGCGGTCAAACCCAGCCCGCGCGGAGGCCGGGCGGGAGTTCCTGGAGGACAGGGAGCAGAGTGTGACCCTGCCCGGCGCCGTGCGTGCTGGGGAGCGGGGCTGGGGAGGGAACACATCGGGGCTGCACGCCCCAGCCGAGGCGCTCGGACATACATCGCCCTCCAGCGCAGGCTCGTCGCCCAGGAACGCGATCTTGAAGTCCGTGCAGACCAGCTTCCCGCAGACGCCCCGCTGGCAGGAGTCCTCCTGGACGCACTTGAGCACCGTGCTGGCCTCGCAGAGCAGCTGCTCCCCTGGACACGGAGCACGTCCTCTTAGCCCCGGGCACCAGCTCCCCGAGCCAGCCTCCCGCCTGCCCTTCAGAGGCCGCACCACAGCCCTCACGGCCTCCCCTCCCACAGCTGCTCAACGGGAGCAGAGGCCCCTCAGATACCCCTCCACACAGGGCCCTCTGGCCTCTCACTATGAATCCAGGACGTTTCCTGGGGAGGGGAGGGTGACAGCTATCAATACATCGCAGCTAAGGCCTCGGCGTTACTGCTTGGCCTGAGCAGAGGTTCCAGGAGCAACAGGAGGCAGCAAGGCCTGCCCCTGCTCCGCTCCAACCCAGGCCTCACCGCCTCGCCGGCCTCGCCGGCCTCCCCGGCCTCCGGCCTCCCCGGCCTCCCAGCCTCCCCGGCCTCCCAGCCTCCGGCCTCCCCGGCCTCCCAGCCTCCCAGCCTCCCGGCCTCCCCGGTCTCCCCGGCCTCCCAGCCTCCCCGGTCTCCCCGGCCTCCCAGCCTCCGGCCTTCCCGGCCTCCCCGGCCTCCGGCCTCCCGGCCTCCCCGGCCTCCCAGCCTCCCGGCCTCCCCGGCCTCCCCGGCCTCCCGGCCTCCCCGGCCTCCCGGCCTCCCCGGCCTCCCCAGCCTCCTGGCCTCCCAGCCTCCGGCCTTCCCGGCCTCCCCGGCCTCCGGCCTCCCCGGCCTCCCCGGCCCTCCCGGCCTCCAGCCTCCCCGGCCTCCCCGGCCTCCAGCCTCCCCGGCCTCCCAGCCTCCCGGCCTCCAGCCACTGGAGCAGGGACAGGAGCGGCGTCTCCCTGGCCGCAGGGCTGGCCGGCAGCCTCCCGGGCTGCACGTGCCCACAGCATCCTGGCCCCGCCGTCCCCGCCGTCCGGGATGGAGGAAGGGGAGGTCAGAGGTCTGTGGGAAAGAACGGTTTCCTCTCTTTCTTCACTGGGAGCGTTTCCTCCCAGTGTGTCACCTTCCTCTCTCCCAGGCCCGCCCGCGGGAAAGCTGCCCTCCTGAGCCAGCGCCGTCCTGCGGACAGAGGTGAGGGCGCGGGGACAGTCTGCTCCCACAGGAGCCCATCGGGGCGGGGGGCCGGCTGAGGCAGGAGAAGAGAAGGTTAGGGGGAAGTGAAGTGTAGACACTTTGCAACAAAAAGGAGAAGGAAATTCTCCTCCCAATCAGTAACCCCAGAACCTGCGCTGGCTGCTTCCTCCAGGGCCGTTTGGCTCGGATTCATTCAGCCTGACCTCCAGCCTGTGAACGGAAAGTTACATCGCTGGGCGGTCAGGGACACACGGGGATGGTTCTGCCTTCCAGGGGCTAGCTGCTAAGGAGACGAGAAGATGGCTGTCAGGCCCCTCCAGCCAGACCGCAGAGCCTGCAGAAAACAATGCGGTCCGGGCCCTCGGGGTTCAAACAGTCCCAGAAAAGGTGCCTCCTAAGTCCCGGTGGAAGACCTGTGGGCAAGGCTTCCTGAGCTCCCGGCTCCTGGGTGGGCCTCCCCAGAACAGGGCTGCAGCCTGCGCCGAGCATGGACACGGTGAGGCTGTGCAAGCGTGTCAGCCTGTGTGCGCAGAGGATCCGGGTCGTGGGCGCAGACAGGCTCTCAGTCTATCTCAGAAACGGGGGAGCCGGCGGGAGCTCACACTGCACACCCATAAGAGACCAGCAGTAACCAGGAAGTGGGAGAATGCAGGTAACACTCAGCTTAAAACAAAGTATTTTTCTGAACCTACAGTCCAAGAAAAGGAAATACAATAGGATATATGGACTAAGATTTAGGCCATTATTTTGGGAAAAACCCTTTGAAACTTAAAGCATTTTTTTTAAAAGTTATAAAATTCCAACATATTTACCAAATAAGGCGGATCAGCCAGAAACCTGTGCATACTCACATACTCCCCCAAAAATGGAAATAATAAAAAGCACCAGAACAGCCCCTATTGTTTTGGGAAAACGCACCTTTAAACACTTATGTTAAAAAGCTATTGAGGTTAGAAAAAACAAAGCGTAAGAACTGAATGCACTGGACAGCCCCATGTAGGAAGAGGACACACCATCAAGTAGTTTCCGGTTCTGAATTCAGATCTGACAAAAGCTTGACTTAAGTCACAGAGACACTTTCCCTATCTCAAAAACACCACCGCCTGGCAGTACTGCTCAGTGGTTGGAGCACTGACCCTGCACTGACCATCCTCAGTTTGGTCGGGGCACATGCAGGGGGCAAGCCATCAATGTGTCTCTCTCTCACCAATTTTTCTCCCTGTGTCTCTCCCCCTCCTTTCCACTCCCTGAAAATCAATGGACAAAATATCCTTGGTGAGGATTAGCCACAACAAAAAATACCCACCAACCCACGCTCCTTGGTGATGACCACAGAGCCAAGTCCTGGTAGCCGTGGTGGCCGGGGATGGCGTTGGTGAGCCAGCACACCTGGCATTGGTGCTCTGATGACCAAGCAGAGATGACAGGTGAGGCCACTCACCAACGCCTGCCTGGGGAAGCCCAGGTAAGGGCCGCTGCGCTAGGTGAGGGCAGCTGTGCCAGGTAAGGGCGGCTACAGTTAGGCAGCAGGCAGAGTGTGGGCAGCAGGCTTTGTGGGGGACCTGACTGAGGACCAGATACTGGACAGGCCCAGTGAAGCGACCGGACAGAGATGAGGACGCCCAGGTTTACTTTCACCTGGGGGTGGGGGGGTCTTCACACCGCTGTAGCCCTCGCACCCAGTGTGTAAGTACTGAGCTAAAAACCTGGTATTCTGTCCAGCTCACGGCCGTTACGTTTTGTGTGATGGAAACAAAGGCACACACAGTGACAGAGGAATGACATGATGGTCACTGGCTTTGAGCTGTACATGATGCTGACATGACTGTTACCTGGCAACAAGTGAAGCGTGACTTCCTTCTCTGCTGCTTCCTTTTCGTTTGTGTGAATTTCCTAAAAGACAAGAGCAAAGGGTAATATTTTATTTGTTTAGGGCTCAAAATGAGTAATAAGGCCATGCTTTCAGAATATTCATGAAAATATGCCTGCAGGAGTTTTTTGTTTATTTGACAAGCCAATTACTTTTTTTAAGAGTATTTTATAACTAAAGGATAACAGAAAATTCCAACAGATTAGTTCAATGCACTAAGATAATTATTTAGGACTGACAACTATTCGCCGCCCAGGCAGAGTGGAGGGGCGGGAGGGGTACTCCCTGGCTGAGGATAAAGGCCCCACAGAAAGAAGGCAGCCGTGGCAGAGAGGGCGGAAGGCAGCCCACAGAACGGCCCCTCCAGGGAGAAGCAGGGTGACAGGTAAACCACCGCTGTCCTAGAGCTTAACGGGAAGAACAGGAAAACATGAACGTATGGAGTCAATACTCTGATCTTAAAAAATAAAACAGTAAAAAACCAAAGAAGCCAATGCCATGCAGCCGCTCTGTGGCACCAGGACCAGCAAAGACAGCTGGAATGCCAGGGCCCCTTTTGATTACCCACGACCCCAGGACAGTGCCAATGGGTTAAGGAATTAAGGCCGGGCTCTGTGTGGCTGTTTCTCAATGAAAATGTCTTCAAATGCCTCCCTGGTGGGCTCAGTGTTTATTGAAAATTCCAAGACAGGCAGCAATCCTTCATGAATTAACGGCCAAAGCAATAGTCCTGCATGGCTGTCAGCCTCACAAGAGAGGCCTGGGGGCCTCCAAATGCACCCTCCACTCAGCCAGGAAGTAGTCCTGCCCATCGGCTCATCTGTCTGCGGGAGCATCTCTGCTAACACCCGCTCACAAGCAGCACCGGGCAGAGAGACGTGTTCCATGACAGCATGCAGATGCCGTCAGTCAAGCCTGACTCCGAAAAGTAATGCAACACACCACCAGTTTGTCAGCAAATGCAACTGAAATTTGTTTCATCTTGTTTTGTTTTTTGACAGGGGCTCTGGGTAGTTTTCTGAAGATGCTGATCCCGATTGAATCAGAAGAAATGTGGTACAGCTGAGTCAGGGAGAGGCGAGGCAGCCCACTGAGGCAGAAGCAGAAAATTTGTGGCTGCCTCAGAGACCCATTTTGAGCAGGCCAATTGCTTTTGTTGGGTTGATTTAAGAAGACGATAAGCCCTGGCCATGTGGTTCGGTTGGTTGGGCAATGTCCTGTGCCCCGAAAGGCTGCCCGCCTGATTCCGGTCAGGGCCCATGCCCAGGGTGTGGGCTCCATGCCCGCTGGGGGCCTTGCAATGTTTCACTCTCACATCTCGTTTCTCTCTCTTCCTCCCTTTTCGTTCCTCTCTCTCTAAAAATCAACTTTAAAATCCTTAAAAAAAAAAAAAAACAGGACAAGCCCTGGCCGGGTAGCTCAGTTGGTTGGAGCACTGTCCTGATATACCAGGGCTGTGGGTTCAATCCCTGGTCAGGACACATACAAACTCAACCAATGAGTGTATAAGTAAATGGAACAACAAAGCAATGTGTCTCTTTCTCTGTCCCTCTCGCTCCACCTCTCAACTCGATAAGTAAAAAAATGTAAAGAGGATAAGAGCATGGGTTTACCCCACTGATGACGAGGAGCGACATCTGTTCCTGCTCCCACTGCTAATAACAACAATCCCCTGGGCCCCCCAGCTGCCATGCCCCCCGTTATCTAAGAACCTCACCCAAAGGCCACGCCTGACTAGAGGTGAGACTGTCACGCGCTCCTCAGCAAGCTTGTGGCCAAAGGAGACCTCCTGGGACCACTGCCCACAGCTGGCAGCCTTACCAAGCTGCCATCTGCTGGCTCCTCGGAAACAGGTTTCTGAGGAAGGGTGTGCCCACGGCACAGGCTCCTATGGACGCAAGGAGCAAAACTGTGAGTCAGCACTCACGCCTACATTTGGTTCCTCAGAGCTGACCCATCTCTAACACAAACCAATGCATTTCACTAACAGCTCCGACTCCCCTAAGCATCAAATGCCGAGGATAAGACGAGTGAGAACTGACCTCTGCTCTCAACAAGTGCACACACACAAAATACCTGGAACGCTGGGCGATCAGGCAGTAACCTAGAGCCTGCAAGGTGACTTCTCGACTCCTCATCACGTTTAGTCCTCAAAGCCTTAGTGCCAGCACTGTCCTTCCAGAGCCGGCGATGAAGCTGGCCCTGGTTAAGGAAGTGGGACTCGAGCCTCAGTTTACCTGGCCGCTCATACTCTTGACTACAACACATCCTCCCCAGGCGCTGGCTCCTCCTCCTCAGCTTTCACACTGCCGTCTGCTGAGCTGTCACCTCACTGCACCGCGCTGAGCCAGCACTGCGGGCCCAGGAGGAACAAGCACCGGCTGGGCCTGCCCAGAGCGCCCGGAGCCACACATGATAAAGACAGGGCAGCACGCTCTGCTCACTCTGCTCGGGAAGGCCAGGCTGATGGGAACGGCAGCATGGCAGAGCCGCAGTCAGAGGGCAGCTAAGACTTGAAAATCAGCAGAAATGAGGACAGGCCAAACGACCCACACTCTCCAGCTGCCCTCCTCATGTCTCTCCTGGGCGGCCTGTGCTCCTGGATGAGCCTCCCACTCACAGCATCGCCAACAACAGACGCTGATGGCCCCAAACGGCTCTTCCCTCCACCTCTCTCCTCAGCGCTGGAGACCTGGACACCCAAACAGCCGCCGGGCCACGGCCCTGGAATGTCCCTCAGGTCCTCCCAGTGTGCCCATGTCACAGCCCTGTCACCTCCCGTCCCTCACCAAGCCAGTTCACCCTCCTGGACTCTGACTCAGTAGATGGCCCGCCAGCCACCCAGTTAGCCACACAGACACCCAAGAGCACTAGTATTTTCTGCCCTCCACATTCTGTTTGCTCTGCTTCCTCAACAGCCCAGAACGCATCCACGTCTGCCCATCCCTCTTGCTGCTCTTACTCCAGGATACGGTTAGCTCTGCCTTGCATGCTTCATGATCATGGTTGCACTGGGGTAATCCACTGTCCCCCACTCCAATGTGATGGAGAAGCAGCCTGTCCTGACAGTAAACTGTCAATAAAAGTCTACTGAAAGAATGAATAAACAAAAGCATAAAAAGAGGCAAATAATTTTTGATCCTGGTGCTATTCTTCAATCCTAAACAGTTAAGAGAGAAACAACTGCAGTACCTAAGTGTATGATGAGTGCCAGGTATTACGGAACCTCTAGAGACCATCCCTTAGCAGCTTTCTGAAATACACTCCAGCCCAGGGTCGCCAACCTTCCGGACCTCACGAACCCCCAGTTGGTGGCCACTGATGTAGTCTCACCAAGCGAGGAGGGGCATTCTCAAAGCCAGACTCCAAATCTGAAGCCTTAGCACCGAGGACAGGGACTAGGGACTCAGCGACACTCTCACTGTCCAGGTCCAGGAAGCTGGGAATCAGAACAGGACCCGTTTCCTAGAACTGACTCCTGGGCTGCTGGCTCCCTGCTCCTGGGATCCTTCCAGCGGCAGGACCAGCAGGCTCACTCCTCTGACATGACCAGCTCGCCTCAACGTGACCCACTGGACACTGGCTCTGGCAATTCCTGCAGCAGCTACTCCGCTGATACACCACGCGGCCAGCCTCTGGAGCCAGGAGGCAGACAGGCGGCACGAGGGCACTGCGCCCTGTCTGAGGGACTGCTATTCGCCAGCACGCAAACCAGTTCTCAGCCACCGCAAATGCTCATCTCTCAGGGAACTCGACGAGCATTCGGGGCTAAGCATTAATTATCCACAAAACATACATCTAACTTCAACATGCCAATGTGTAATCTGCTGGAGGCTCTCCTGTGCCCACTCCCACAGGCCTATGTCTTTGCCCTGACAACAACCCTGTAAGTATGCCCACCCCCTTGCCAGACAAGGCCGACGAAGCCCCTCGAGGGTGAGTGATGGGCCTGGGCCACACAGCTGCACACGCGGTGACCAATTCAGTGATCTTGATGCCAACTTCGTTTCTGTCCACGTTTATTAAGACACACTAGTAATTCGCGTAAGATACAGTTCACCTGAGTGTACAACCCAGTGGGGTTTAGTATGTTCCCGGAGTTGTAAAGCCATGACCACAATCCATTTTAGACCCTTTCGTGCCTCAGAGAAGCCCTATACGCGCCCTGGGCGGTGGCTCAGTTGGTTGGAGCATCATCCCGTACACCAAAGGTTGCAGGTTCGATTCCAGTCCTGTGCCTAGAGGAGACACCCCAATCAATGTCTGTCTGTCTGTCTGTCTCTCTCAGTCTTTCTCTCTCTCTCTCAAACAACAACAAATGAAACCCTGTACCCATTAGCATTCATCCCTCATTCTCCTTATCGCCCCCCACCCCCGCCCCCAGCCTAGGCAACTGCCAATCATAAACTGGGTTCCGGTTATAAACCACCGCGGTGTGTCCTGCCAGCGGTAACGGCTGCAGCAGAGGAGCAGGCAGCACCTCTGGCGGCGCGCTACCCCAGCCCGAGCCATACTTACTCGCGAGTCCGTTGTTCACATTTAGACCGCTTTTCCCCTTACCTCAGAGTCTCTCTTTTTTAAGGAAGGAAGGAACTGCTCACTAAGACCCAAACCAGAGCCCTCACTGTCTGACAGCTCAGCACTTACTGAGGGCAGTGAAAGTATTACTCACTCAAGCTCCTCAGCAAGGATCGCTCTCACCACATTGCCTGGCCTGGAACAATCCTAACGCTTTGTCACACTCCCCCTGGTCAGCCACTCCAGCTGCAGAGAAATGTGAGGCCCAAATGCCAGTGAGCCTCCGAACACAGATCTGACCGCACAGACAGCTAGCGGCTCGATCCCAACTGAGAGGCCGCTCGCCGATGGCCTGGGAGGCCGGGAGAGAGAACTCCAGTGGCTCAGAGGAGACGTGGGAGGCCGGGAGTGAACTCCAGTGGCTCAGAGGAGACGTGGAGGGGCCGGGAGTGAACTCCAGGGGCTCAGAGGAGACGTGGAGGGGCCGGGAGTGAACTCCAGTGGG